GTCCTGGAGTCCCGGGATCGAGTCCCACATCGGGCTCCTGGCATGGAGCCTGCTTCTCCCTCCTCCTGTGTCTCTGCCTCTCTCTCTCTTTCTCTATGTCTATCATAAATAAGTAAATAAAAAAAAAACAAAAAAACAAAAAACTTTGTTTGAATTTGGTTTCAGTAAGGTCCATAGAGTTCACTTGGTTAATATCTCTTAAATTTCTATTTAACTGTAAGTTTCCTCTCATTTCTTTTTTACTGTTTTTTAAAAGATTTATTTATGTATTTGAGAGAGATGTGCAAAGAGTATGTGCAAAGGGAGTGGGAGAATCTCAAGCAGGCTCCTCCCTAAGTGCGGAGCCCAATGCAGGGCTCCATCTCAGGAACTTGAGATCATGACCTGAGCCGAAATCAAGAGTCAGATGCTTAACCAACTGAGCCACACAGGTGTCCCCCTTTTTTTATTGTTATTGAAGAAAATGGTCTTTTGTCCTATAGCATTGTTCTCCGTGTGGATTTTGTTCATTGTACCCAAGTCATTTGATAATAATACTTGTCTGTGCTTTGTATTTCCTTAATCAGATCATTTGATTGAGGGTGGGTGAGAGTCAAGCCTATTTTATAGCAGTGTTGTGCTCGACCAAGAGGTACATAACAGTCTTCCATCTCTTGTTTTGTGTGACGGTAGCCAATGACGCATTAATTCATTAGGAGCTGCAAAGTGCTATTTAATTCTATCATTCCTATCTCATTTTTTTTAGGTGGAATACGTCTACAAAGAGAAACTTCCTTTTCTCAACTATATGATTACCTTGAGATATAATTTAAAATACTAAGACCTTTAGATATTATGAAATGAGGGAGCCAGTTTTTTTTTTTTTATGATAGTCAGAGAGAGAGAGAGAGAGAGAGAGAGAGAGAGGCAGAGACACAGGCAGAGGGAGAAGCAGGCTCCATGCACCAGGAGCCCGACGTGGGATTTGATCCCGGATCTCCAGGATTGTGCCCTGGGCCAAAGGCAGGCGCCAAACCGCTGCGCCACCCAGGGATCCCGGGAGTCAGTTTCATAAAAGATAAAGAAGACCAAAAAAAGATAGATAAGACAAACCAATAAGTTTTTAGAGTCAAAGATAGATAATGAGTTTACTAATACCTTTGAAGTAAATTTCTAAACTTAGCAACCTCTTGGGGATCCCTGGGTGGCGCAGCGGTTTGGCGCCTGCCTTTGGCCCAGGGCGCGATCCTGGAGACCCGGGATCGAATCCCACATCGGGCTCCCGGTGCATGGAGCCTGCTTCTCCATCTGCCTATGTCTCTGCCTCTCTCTCTTTCTCTCTCTGTGACTATCATAAATAAATAAAAATTTAAAAAAAAAAAAAATAAAAAATAAAATAAAATAAACTTAGCAACCTCTTTACAAATGTTCAAAACATTAAAAAATGCATGGGAATATAAATCTTCAACTAAAAAACTCCTCTGACATTTAAAAATAAGACTGAGGAAATCCAAAAAAGTTTCTTAAGCTAATATTCATTTCCACAGTATACATCAATTTTTATAAACAAGAACCTTTTTTAAAAAATAAAGCAGAAAAAAAATAAGGCAGAAAAATGCACACCCCATATTGGGCCAAAATATCTATGTCTTACCATAATAAACTACTGAGCTCCTCTTTTCCTTCCATTCTGATTCTCTCAATATCTTTCAGTGGTTTCTCCCTATCTCCAGGCTTTTGTTGTTAAGTGGGCCTATTTTAGAACCGAAGTTTTAAAATACTGTCTTCAGCAAATAGTCATGTTCCATGTTACCAGTTCTAAAAGGAGTGGGAATCTATAGAGCATGAGGACCATGATACCCTTACCGGGTCCTGGTATGGAGATATAGGAAAGGAATCTGGATCTAGAAGTAGGTAGTTTTATACATTATTCCAATAAAATAAATGTTTAATACTTGGCATCATCCAGACAGCATTTATTATCAACAGAACTTCTTTCATTATCATCTGCTTTGTGCTATTATATTTAGAAAATAATCCAGTTCTTAAAAAAGAAAAGTGAGCAAGGGACACCTGGGTGGCTCAGCAGTTGGGTGTCTGCCTTCAGCTCAGGGCATGATCCCAGAATCCGGGATTGAGGAATTCTCCTTGCAGGAAGCCTGCTTCTCCCTCTGCCTGTGTCTCTGCCTCTCTCTCTCTGTGTTTCTCATGAATAAATAAATAAAATCTTTAAAAAAAAAAAAAAGCAAAATTTGTCCTTCTTTAGGAAAAACAAAGAAGCCAACTTTTTTTTTATGAGACTAAAGAATTTGAATGAAACAGAATAATGAGTTTGCTAACAATCAAGATTTTTAAAATACTGAATTTCATTAGGTTTTTAGAATCTTCTTTGATGGATGTATTTGAAATAGGCTAAACGTGTACTCTAGCATCAGACAAAAGCACTTGTTCGGGACACCTGGATGGCTCAGTGATTGACCGTCTGCCTTTGGCTCAGGGTTTGATCCTGGAGTCCTGGGAGTCCCACATCCGGCTCCCTGAATGGAGCCTGCTTCTCTCTCTGCATATGTCTCTGCCTCTCTCTCTCTCTCTGTGTCTCTCATGAATAAATAAATACAATCTTCAAAAGCACTACTTTCCTCTCCTATAACATTGCTTCTTGCTAATGGTTGTTTTCTTTCCTCTTCTTGGAATGGTCAGATCTAGGATTTGGATTTGAGTTTTTAGGTAAGTAAGCCTGCCTAGGCCTAGGCAAAAGGCCCTTCAAAATCTCTTTTGTATCTGTGGAGTTCCAGAGGGGGATCTGTTTTCAGTGCACACGGTGGGTGAGGTATGCAGAAGTCTGGGAGAGGAACAGGCAAAAGAAGTTCTCAGTCAATAAAAGAAAAAAACAGATCAAAGTTCTTTTGGCTCCGGCCACCTTGGTTGCTCAGCAATTGAGTGTCTGCCTTTGGTGACCCACATTGGGCTCCCTGAGAGGACCCTACTTCTTCTTCTGTCTATGCCTCTGCCTTTCTGTGGCTCTCATAAACAAACAAACAAATAAATAAATAAATAAATAAATAAATAAATAAGTAATAAAATCTAAAAAAAGATATTTTAGCTCTGACAAAAAAAAAACACATGGTGGTGGAGTTGGAGGTGTGGGGGAAATTTGGAAATTAGACAAATTTGCTATTGATTTGAATAAAGTAGAAATTGGGTAAATTCTTCCTCCTATAGGATCTAGAAAGACAAGGCAGTAATGTGTACTCATGGGTGCTCTAATTAGGAGAGTAGTTTAAATTGGTTTTATTGAGATAGGAAAGGGAGGAACTTAAAAGGGGAATTCTTTTTCTCTTAATTTTAGTTCCTTCTAAATGGCCATCTGTCGTGTGTTCTAGCTCTGAGAGGAGATTGCTGATTGCCCTTTATCTTTTCGTTATCCTTTTGGAGGTCTGAGTTCAGTAAGTTAAAAAGATCAATTTTTTAATGAGACAGTGGGACCTTTGGCAGGTCTCTAAGGATTTGGGTTTTCTTGGTGCAAGCCTGATCCTAATTTAATTCCACTGCAAACTGCTCCCAAGAATGGGGTAAGGTGTTTGGATACTGTCTCTTGGCTAAACATTGCATCTACTGTTCCCCAGTCCCTTGCCACTTTATGTAACTCCTGGGATTCTGAGTAACTTTTTCTGTAGCTGCACTGTTCAGATTTTTTAAAATGAGTACGTTTTATTTTTATGAAAACAACCACTTTTTAAAAAAACTAAAGAAGGGGCAGCCCGGGTGGCTCAGCAGCTTAGCACCACCTTAGCCCCAGAGCGTGATCCTGGAGACCTGGAATCGAATCCCATGTCGGGCTCCCTGCATGGAGCTTGCTTCTTCCTCTGCCTGTGTCTGTGCCCCCCACCCCCTCTGTGTCTGTCATGAATAAATAAATAAAATCTAAAAAAAAAAAACAAAACTAAAGACTATAATGAAATCTTATGGAACTAGAATTAGTGAGTTTGCTTTTGAGTAAAAAGGAAAGAGGCTAGAAGCTATCTAAACTTTTAAGTACAATTCTATAGTAATGTGGCAAAAGCAACTTGCAAATTAGGTGAGAACAAAAAGTTTATGACACAAGTACCAAGATCTGGGAAGGACCTTAGACAAAAGGTTTACAGTCTGAGTAGGGAGGAAGCAGATGAGACATAAATACTGCTGTGTACTCAGAAGTAGAGCCTGACAAAGCTAAAACACTTTCTAAATATTAACTTCTGCTCTGATTCAGTAATGCCCTGAAAGGCACATCAGTATATCAAATGGTAAAGCAAAGCAAAAGATAAGATTATTTGCCCATGCCCAGAAATAAAATTCAGAAATAGGTAATCTCCTTCCGTGCTTCTCTGCCCTTTTCTGAAATGGCATAAACAGCCTACAAGTGCTCCTGTGTGAGTGTCTCACTGGTTACCAGTGCTCTGTACTAGCTAGGAGTGTGGAAGTTCAAGTCCAGACTAATAGTAGACAAGTTAGGTCAGAACCAATTCTAAGTTTGAAAAAAATTTTTGGTATAACTCTCCTTGCTCAAGATGAAAGATGATATTTGTTTGTTTGTTTGTTTGTTTGTTTGTTTGTTTAACAGGGGGAGAAAATACAACCCAGGGGGAAGTGGGAGAGGGAGAAGCAGGCTCCCTGCTGAGCAGGGAACCTGATTTGGGGCTCATGAGGCTCGATCCTATGACCCTAGGATCATGACCTGAGCCGAAGGCAGACACTCAACCAACTGAGCCACCCAGGTGCCCCAAAGATGATGTTTTTAAAGGGCCATTCTACCATGCCAGAATATTCTCATTAAAATATTAAAAAGTCATTGTCCTGGAAATGAGAAACTTTGGTTTTCTCTAGTGCCATATCCTCTAGTTTTGTGGAGTCCTGAATTAGGCCAGATGCTTTGGAAGAACATGATCAGTACTAAAAGATGAATTGACGGTTTCCCTTTGTCACTAAAAGGGGAGAGGAGTTATGGGGGTGTATGTCAAACAACTATTTTTTCCTGGTAGGTGTGGCGTTTCCAGAAGAAACAAACAGATCTCCTCATCGCCTTTTATAAGCATAGAATTACAAAGTTAGAAGCAGCCATGCAGGAGGCACAGCAGACAGTGACCAGCCAGGAAAAGTAAGTGACAAATTCAATTGCCAGAGAGCTTTTTTTCTTTCAGAGAAGCTGTAGTTCTTATTTCCTTATGGTTGCAAAGCCTGAACATTGCTGCATGTGTGTATATGTTTGTCTTGGGTAAATCAGGTACAGAATTATTGGTCCCCTCTAGGGAGACAAAATCCCCATTTTGTTTTTCTCTTTTCTTCCCTCTAGGGGCCCACCTCACTTTATGGCTTTCCTACTTTTCTGTCAAAAACTGCTTCTTTGGAGAAACTAGGCACAGCTTTTGAGTGATAAAGATGAGAGTAGCATTTGAAATGTTACCTCTAGGAGGGTATATTTTGGAAATCTTCAGCCAAAAGATGGAATTCTTGATGGATGTTTCCAGACAGCTGCAGGCCAGGGATGGGTGTGGAGAGGAAATAGAACTCTTTGTAAACTTCTCTGAAATTATACCTAGTGACGGCTTATTTTGTCCATCTGATTCTTCTGGCCATCAAACTCTACCCCTGTCTCCTGAATCCCTAGATCTCTGATAGAAATACCTTGTATAGTGGCAAGCTCTCTTTGTAAGCATTAACCAGGTATCAGCAACAATAAAAATCAGAGTTTGTATCCCATTGACCTGCTGGAGATGATTATTTCTATCTTTTGCCTAGAGAACTGTCAGTCTTAAAGAAGGAGAATGGAGAACTGAAGAAATGTCTTGCCATTCTAAAGGTGAATTGAAACAGGTTTTCCTTACTATTATTTTCTCTCCTACTGTTCCCATCTAACTGACTAGACACTGTATAGAACAATGTTTCCTAAACTTTTCCACACGTGGAATAAATAACTGATAATATTTATACAAGTACACTGTCATAAGTGGTCGAGGCCGCAAAAGACCTAGGAGGACTGAAATGATCAATATGTAGCACACTGGTAACCCATTCTTGAATATCAGTAAGTCATGACATACCATTTGGGAAGAAACTCTCTTATTGAAGAGACATCTGTTGTAGCTTAAAATTTCTCTTCAAGTGTCCCAGGACTCCTCAGGACCCTTCCTCTTCCTCCAGTCTAACTCCATTTCCTAGATCTATCTTTCTTCTTAAGAATGTTCTTTGTGTTTATATGACATTCTTACTGATCCTCCTGCTATAAGTATTTTAGCACATTTTATCCTATCATTTTCCTTTCTTTCCCCTATGGACTCTCCATATTTTCCCACATAAGTCAGTCTTCAGGATTCCCAATGTGTTTTTATGAAGAACTGAATTTTTATTACATCAAAGCTAATAATTTCCTAGGGAATCATTGCTGCTAGTTTTTCTCCTACTGAGAATCTTAGCAACTGTAGCTAGAGGACATTGTAGCTTAGTTATCTAGCAAGTAACACTCATTGATTAGAACCCTAATTCTAGCTGCAGTTTCCTTCACTTCCATTTTTCTCACCTACAGGAATCTCCAAAATGGTACCAAGGAAGCAGGTCAGTTTTATCAGGCCCCATACTAGTGCTGTTTGAAAATTACTGTTCTCTCTTGGCTCTTGGCTGCAACACCTGTGTGGGCTCTAAGGTGAAAGAAACGGTTGATGAATGTATCTTTTACTTCTCCAGTTACTCACTGAAAAGTGTGGAAGTGAAATCTTGAATGTAATGCTCATTCTTATGAAATCCTAACTCACCCTTCAGAATTCAACTCACGTGTCATTTCCTCCGTCAAGACATCATTAGGCAGAGTTTGATGTTCTGTCATTCATTTATTTGGCAAATATTAAATGCCTATTGTTTATCAGGTACCATGCTACATGTTGAGTGTACATCACCAGTTAGTCTGCACCCTACCAACTATTAAATGTTTTTTACTTCAGCTCTGTATTGGTGGGTTAAGAGACATGGCTCCTGCACTCACAGAAGTTACAGTCTGGTGGTCTTTCATACTTCCGTACTTCTGATATACCCATTAACACTTAAACATTGCTTTTACTTTTGTCTCTCCCACTAGCCTTTGAACCTTTTGAAGATAGAAACTATATTCTAGTTACCTTTGTAATCTCAGGATCTATGATGTATAAACACTAAATAAATGCTTGTTGGAGAGATGGATGAGAGGATGGCAGGAGGGAATGATAGATTTATTAGTGTATGAATAAATGGATAGATACATGTAAAATTGAGAGTACTTACAGGCAGAAGAGAAGGTTTCACTTAGGAAGTTAAAGAGCCAAGGAGTCTCATATTTGCCTCCATATTTTGGGGTCATACTTCATAGTAAGCAATTTGTGCTCAGAGAGTAAGCTGTTACTTCTTTAAACAGTGGTCTGTTGGGATGCCTGGGTGGCTCAATGGTTGGGCGTCTGCCTTTGGCTCAGGGCATGTCTCTGCCTCTCTCTTTGTGCCTCTCTTGAAAAAAATAAATAAAATCTTAAAAACAAACAAACAAACAAACAAAACCCCACAGTGGTCTGTTGATGCTCTCAGGGGCACTTAACTTCTGCTTAGAGCTGCCACTTTTTTTTTTTTTTCTCTTACAGATCAGCCACACCTCGGCCAGTGGGCATTACTTCTCCATCACAGTCAGGTAGAGAACATTTTCTCCCCCAAATATCTGTGTGAGATAAATTTCCTTTTCCCATATAGAAGATAGTTTCCTCTCAAAGACTGTAATGTGATTTTCCTAATATTGTATATGATATGAGAAGATCATACAACCAGATGTCCACACGTGACCGATTGGCTAGGCAAGGCGGGGCCATGACATGGATGGCAGCTCTTCATTGCTCCCTTGATTCTCTTTCAGTCACTCCACGACCCAGTTCTCAGCATAGCAGCCAGGTGGTCAGGTGAGTAGGAAGCCTATACACCCACATGAAAACTGGCAAAAGTTGGAAGATAAATAAATACCTAGATACGGCAGAAGTAGGGATTGAGGAGACTTTAGGTCTATGTCAGGTTTCACATCAGGTTTGTTTTTCTTTTGTCTCCCTTATACAGTCGATCCTCCTCAGCGGAGTCTATCCCTTACAGAGTATCTGGCTTCAGTAGCTTGGGAGCAGTAAGTAATATTTACCTTCTCTTCCCAGATTAAGATTTCTAATTTTTTTTTTTAATTTTTATTTATGATAGTCACAGAGAGAGAGAGAGAGGCAGAGACACAGGCAGAGGGAGAAGCAGGCTCCATGCACCGGGAGCCCGACGTGGGATTCGATCCCGGGTCTCCAGGATCGCGCCCTGGGCCAAAGGCAGGCGCCAAACCGCTGCGCCACCCAGGGATCCCCCAGATTAAGATTTCTAATGTTAATTGAAGGCAAAGATGTCAGGCAAGAATATTATGTCTAGGGATCCCTGGGTGGCTCAGCGGTTTAGCGCCTGCCTTTGGCCCAGGGCGTGATCCTGGAGACCCGGGATCGAGTCCCACGTCGGGCTCCCGGCATGGAGCCTGCTTCTCCCTTCTCCTGTGTCTCTGCCTCTCTATCTCTATGTCTATCATAAATAAATAAATAAATCTTTAAAAAAAAAAAAAAAAAAAAAGAATATTATGTCTATATTGGTTTTGGTATAAATTATCCAATGCCATGCCTGGACTGTCTTTTCTTTTGGCAATGAAGACCTGATGTTAGAAGCTAACACGGAGAGGGGTGCCTCAGTGGCTCAGTCGGTTGAACTCAACTCATGATCTCATGATCTCACGGGTTATGGGATTGAGCCCTGCATTGCACTCCACGTTCAGCAGGGAGTGTGCTTTAAAGATTCCCTCCCTCTGGCCCTCCCCCCACTCTCTCTTTTTCAAATAAATAAGTCGTTAAAAAAAAAAAAAGCTAACACAGAATAAATGGGAAAGTAGTAGAAATGTTCAGTGACTGAATTAACAGTGATAATTCATCTTGGGGGGTCGCATCGGTGGCTCAGTTGGTTGAGCGTCCAACTCTTGGTTTCGGCTTGGATCATGATCTGGTTGTGGGATCAAGCCCCACGCATGGTCCTGTACTCAATGTGGAGGCTGCTTCAGATATTCTCTACCTTTTCCTCTCACTCTCTCTCAAATAAAATAAAATATTTTTAAAAATTCATTTTGGAAGTAATAAAGTATCCTTCTTGGATGAGCATGCCTATTCTGGCAGAACAACATATGCTTCAATGTGTAGATATAGAAAAAGAATATGGAAGCCAGGGACGCCTGGGTGGCTCAGCGGTTTAGCGCCACCTTTGGCCCAGGGTGTGATCCTGGAGACCTGGGATAGGGTCCGTGCGTGGGGCTCCCTGCATGGAGCCTGCTTCTCCTCCTGCCTGTGTCTGCGCCTCTCTCTCTCTGTGTCTCTCATGAATAAATAAACAAAATCTAAAAAAAAAAAAAGAATATGGAAGCCAGAGAATGGGATTTATTTATTAATTGATATTTGTTATTTGTCCATCAGGGAGCCAGAGGCCTGCAGGGAAGAAGCACTCCCAGGGACTCTTATATTGGTGAGAAGGGGATAAAAGGGTCAGAAACCAATATATTCTGTGCAAATGCCATCAGATTTCTGGTTTTCTCTGCAAATATAATGCTATTATGCATTTTTTATGCATAATATAATGCCATTTTTTTCCAGACACTGATTCCAGGTATCCAGAGATATATTACTACTTTTCATTTTTTTAAAGGATTTTATTTATTTATTCATGAGAGACACACACAAAGAGAGAGAGAGACAGAGACACCGGCAGAGGGAGAAACAGGCTCCATGTAGGGAGCCCAATGTGAGACTCAATCCCAGGACCCCAGGATCACAACCCAAGCCAAAGGCAGATACTTCAGCCACTGAGCCACCCAAGTGTCCCATATTACTGCTTTTCAAATAATGATATTCCTCTTCTCAAACTGATAAGGAAAAACTTTTTTTGAGCAATAGAAAGTCATTGGAAACCCTTGGTCAAGAGATGGAGAACTTGAGTAAGATAAATTTGGATTTTTAAAATTACCACAAGATGGCAGTAGAAGTTAGGTCTAAAAGGAAGGTTAACTAGACGCCACTTATGTTATTAGCCTGAAGGGTATCAGGCTTCAGTGTGTATTAAACTTAAAAATATTAATTGAAGAATGAAAAATATTCATTGGAGAATATCCAGTGAAGAATACCCACTTAATTTCTTGTCTCTTTTCTCTTAGAACTATTTTTGTTATTACTTTTTTCAAGGGAGGGTATTTGCCAATCCATAGAGAATGCTTAATCAGAAGATTTCCCTTTCTTTCACAAGAGGCAGTTGTGAAATTTACACATTTCTTTCTGGATAACCATTTTTGAAAATCACCAATATTTTCCCTCCAATTCTTTCATATTCACCTTTTGAAAAATGTAGAAGTTCTAGAGAATTTATCAGGTTAATCGTAATATTCTTTTATTTCTGATTTTAGTTATTTGAAGCTTTTATTTTTTTTCTTGAACAGCCTGGCTGAAGACTAGCCAATCTAGTTGAACATTTCAAAGAACCTGCTTTTGGTTTTGTTGATTTTCTCTGGTTTTTTTGTTGTTGTTGTTGTTCTCTCTCTCTTTTTTTTTTTTAAGATTTAATTAATTTATTCGTGAGAGACACAAGAGACAGAGAGAGGCACAGACACAGGCAGAGGGAGAAACAGGCTCTATGCAGGGAGCCTGACGTGGGACTTAATCCCGCGGTCTCCAGAACCACACCCTGGGCTGAAGGTGACACTAAACCGCTGAGCCACCCGGGCTGCCCTGTTCTCTATTTCATTTATTTCTGCTCTACCTTTTATTTATTTCCTTCTGCTTCTTTTGGGTTTAGTTTTAGTTTCTTAAGACAAAAGGTTGGATTATTGATTAGAGATCTGCATTTTTTTTAAAGATTTTATTTATTTATTCATAGAGACACAGAGAGAGATGGGCAGAGGCACAGGCAGAGGGAGAGGGAGAGGGAGAAACAGGCTCCATGCAGGGATCCCTACGCGGGACTCGATTCAGGGTCCCCAGGATCACACCCTGGGCTGCAGGCGGTGCTAAACCGCTGCGCCACTGGGGCTGCCTGAGATCTGCATTTTTGATGTAGACCTTTTCAGTTATAAATTTCACTCTAAGTGCCTCTTTCATTGTGTCCTATAAGGTTAAGTATTTTCTTTTTAGATTTTATTTATTCACGAAAGACAAACACACATGGCGGGGCGGGGGTGGGGGGTGCAGAGACACAGGCAGAGGGAGAAGCAGGCTCCATGCAGGGAACCTGATGTGGTACTCCAAGATCACGCCCTGGGCCAAAGGCCAGCGCCAAACCGCTGAGCCACCCAGGGATCCCTGGTTAAGTATTTTCTAGCTTTGTTTTCATTTGTTCAAGGTATTTTCTAATGTCTTTTGTGATTTTTTTCTTTGAACCAGTGTTGTTTAATATCAAAATATATTGAATTTTCCCCGATTTCCTCCTGTTATTTTTAATTTCATTTCATTGCAGTTGGATAAAATACTTTGTATAATTTAGATACTTTGAAATGTATGGCCTAACAGATGGTTTATCCTGGGGAATGCTCCATGTACACTTGAGAAGAAACTGTTCTGCTGTTGTTGGTTGGAGTGTTCTAAAGAAGTCTGTTAGATTTAGTTGGTGTATAATGTTGTTCAAATCTTCTATTCCATTGCTGATCTTCTGCCTAGTTGTTCCATTCATTATTGAAAGTAGGGTTTTGAAGTCCAATAGTTTCCCTCCATTTCTCTTCAATTCTGTTAGTTTTTGCTTCATGTATTTTAGGACTTTGTTATTAGGTGCATATATAAGTGTAATATCCTCTTGATGGCTTGACCATTTTATCATTTTGACCTTTGTCTCTAGTAATGATTTTGTCTTAAAGTGCATTTGTCTGACATTAGTCCACTCTCTTTTGTTTACTTGTTTACATGGAATATTTTTTCCATTTTTTTTTTTTTTACTTTCAACCTATAAGTGTCTTTGAATTTAAAGTGAGTCTTTTGTAGATAGTGTATAGTTGGATCTTTTTGTTCTTCATTCTGCCAGTTTCTGCCTTTTAATTAGAGAGTTTAGTACATTTATATTTAATGTAATAACTGTTAAGGAAAGATTTCTGACATTTGCTAGTTGTTTTCTATATGTCTTATGTCTGTTTTGTTCCTTACTTCCTCCATTATCCCTTCTTTTGTGTTAAATATTTTCTAGTGTACCATTTTAGTTCCCTTGTACCATTTACTATTTTTTAGTTATTTCCCGAAAATAAGCATCATGATTAAATTAAGATTAACATCATAATTAATAGCAATATAGTACAGATTAATGCTAAACAATTTCAACAGCATACAAAAAGTACACTTCTATATAGTATCATTCTTTTCACTTCATTGTGCTGTTACCACATAAATGATATCTTTATAAATTGTGTACTCATAACACAGAATTACAGTTTTATACAGTTGTCATTTAGATCAGATAGGAGAGGGGCACCTGGGTGGCTCAGTTAGTAAAGCGTCTGCCTTCGGCTCAGGTCATAATCCCAGAGTCTGGGAATCAAGCTCCACATCAGGCTCCCTGCTCAGGAGGGGTCCACCTCTCCCTCTCCCTCTCCCTCTCCCTCTCCCTCTCCCTCCCCCTCTCCCTCTCCGTCTCCCTCTCCCTCTCCCTCTATGTGCTTTCTCTCTCTCTCAAGTAAATAAATAAAATCTTTTTTTAAAAAGTGAATAAATAGGGGCACCTGGGTGGCTAAGTGATTGAGCATTTGCCTTTGGCTCAGGTCATGATCATGGGTCCTGGGATTGAGTCCCACATCAGGCTCCCCAGAGGGAGCCTGCTTCTCCCTCTGCCTATGTCTCTGCCTCTCTCTGTGTCTTTCATGAATAAATAAATAAAATCTTTTTAAAAAGTAAATATATATAAATCATATAGGAGAAAAGAGTTACAAACAAAATCCACTTATACTTTTATGTTTACCTACGTAATTACCTATACCTCTTTATTATTTCTTCATGTAGATCTGAGTTACTGTCCAATGCCCTTTCAGTTAAGCCTGAAGGACTCTTTAATGTTTCCTATAAGGCAGGTTTGATAGTGATGAATTCTCTTAGTTTTTGTTCATCTGGGAATGTTTTAATTTATCCTTCATCTTTGAAGGATAGTTTTGCTGGATTTAATTTTTGGTTGATAGTCTTCTAGCATTCTGAATGTTATACCCCTGTATTCTTACCTCCCTGGTTTCTAAGAAGAAATCAGTGCTAATTTTACTCAGAATCCCTTGCATGTGGTAAGTGACTTCTTTTGAGGGTTTTGTTTTGTTTTGTTTTTTGGCTTTCAATAGTTTATGATATGTCTAGGTGTGGATATCTTTAAGTTTATCCTGTTTGGAGTTAGTTGAGCTTCTTGGATGTGTAGATTCATTTTTTTTTTTTTTTACCTAATTCAGGAAATGGTCAGCCATTATTTCTTCAAATATTCTTTCTGCCCTTGTTCCTCTCTTTTCTTCTAGAAATCCCTTTATGTATTTGTTGATATACTTGATGGTGTTCCAGCATAGTCTCTGAGGCTCTGTTCATTTTTCTTCATTTTTTCTTTTCCTCACATTGGATAGTTTTAGTGGACTTCAAATTTGCTGATTTTTTCCTCTGTTTGTGCTGATGAGCTCCTCTAGTGAAGTTTTCATTTTTGTTATTATAATTTGGTTCTTTCAAATATATTTTTCTGTATTAGTATTCTCTATTTGTTGAGATACCATATTCATACTTACTTTTAGTGCTTTAGACATAGTTTCCAAAGATATTTGAGCATATTTAAATAAGTGATTTAGGGTGCCTGGATGGCCCAGTCAGTTAAGTGTCTGCCTTTGGCTTAGGTCAGGATCTTGGGGTCTTGGAATCGAGCTCTGCCTCAGGCTCGGAGCCTGCTTTTCCTTTTCCTCCCTGCTCGTGCTCTCTTTGCTATCTCTGTCTCTCTCTAATAAAGAAAATATTTTTTTAAAAAAATAAAATACCTGATTTAAAGTCTTTGTCTAGACAAAGTCTAGGCTGGGCTTAGTCCAATGTCTGGGCTTCCTCAAGGACAGTTTCTCTTGAAACTGTTGCTTCTTTGCATACCTCATTTTTTGTTGGAAATTGGACATTTAAAGTAACACAACATGGCAATTCTAGGACTCAGATTCTTCCCTCCTTGCCAGAGTTTTTTGTTCTTGCTGTTTATTGTTGTTTTAGTGACTTTTTAAAAATAATTCTGTAAAATCTGTACTGTGTCATGTGGGGCCACCAAAGTCTCTATTCAGTTAGATTAGTGATTAGCTAATGATTGGACAATTCCCTTAAACACCTGGAACCAGTGAGTCTCTCAGTCTTTACTGAGGGATTCTGTGTGTGCGTTGGGGTTCACTTTCACCACTCAACCAGGCAATTGACAACTGTGCTTAGCCTTCATCCTGCTTGTATGACCTCAAGGTAAGAGACTGGGGCCTTTTCAGGTCTTTTCTGAGCATGCATACAGTCCTGCATATGTATATGCATATGGTCTAGATCCCAGGAATGTCATGTTTTCAGAGTCCACACCAGCAACTCATTCATCTGTGCTGTTAGCCTTTTTTTTTTTGCCCCACTTGATATTCACATCCTCAGGCAGCCCAAACAAGTGCTTCTAATTATTTACAACAGACACTCCTGGGGAAAAGGTTTTTCACACGTGGTGAGCTCTAAGCTCCAAATCCTGATGAGTTTGTGCTCCAGGTCAGGTCAAATAAAAGCAGCCTTGCAAGTAAGTAGAGTCTTCCAGTGAATCACTGGACAGGTCAAATGATTAGTCTCTGGGAATAGGCTTTGAAAGAGTTCCAACCCCCACGAAGATTGCCAAAATGTTGGTTTTCAAGGCTACCACAGAGCTAGAGGAGAAATGGGAATAGGGCAAGTTAAAATGCCACAAAGTTCACTGTTCTTAACCTTATTTGACTATTTTTCTGGAATAAATATTCCCCAGATTGCTGCAAGCCCTTTACTTTACAGAGCTCTGAAAAAGTTGATTCTGACAGTTTTTGTCAATTTTCTCATTCCTTTTATAGAGAGAACTTCTGGCGGTCTTTATGCCACCATTTTTGCGGTCATTCTAAACCAATGTAATGAACCTTTGTCTTTAGCCATTCTTTCTGGTAATCCCCATCTTAGAGGGGGAACCAAGGCACAGATACATTAGAGCACATCAAGGCAGTAATGGATCTTGGCCCACAGATTCATGAAACGGAGAGAAAAGCACCTTTAGGAGACACTGCTAGGTGATTTGTGAGCTTTTTCACTTGCTCTTAGCTCCTAATATATATACTGAAAATCTTGGGTCCCATTTCTTTGTCCTGGTCCCAAGTATACCTGAATGAATCTCTTTTCCAGTTCATGGGTTATCTCACAGGCTCATTTTAATGTTTTCCAGAAACCCCTTCACCAGCTTCTACTCATAGCCTATCTTATAGGTAAGTAATTATGCTTCCTTTCACTTGGGATCTGTTCACACTGACACTCTGCCAGCAGCCCTGGGGCTACTTCTCTGCTGGCTTATACATAACACTGAAGTTTCTAAATCTACCTTGTAAACAAGAGAGCATTGAATATCATCATGTCTTTATGTCCAAATTATTTCTAATCGCAAGCAGGGTATTTTTCCCTTTTGTATCTAAATAAATAGGCTCTCCCTTTACACATGCTCTTTACCTTTACCTTCCTTTTATCTGCTGATGCTTCTCTTTCCCCTCCTTAGGCCTTCACCTGCCTCTTCTGGACAGGGGATTTTTTCTTTCAGACCATCCATAAATGGTAGTGATTCAGGCCACACAAGAGTCCTCACCCCCAACAATTCAGGTATGTTAACATTCCCAAAGGAATGGAGTTTCAACCATTGACATATATACTAAAATGAAGATTTTCAAGGTAAAAAGAAGTTAGGAAAAGAATGGACTTTATAATGTGCCTCTTAAATTGCTTAGCTAGGTCTTTTCCCTTCTGAGTAGTGTTCTACAGATTAAGACCTACCTATTTACCCTGACCCATAAGTAACACTGCCAAAGAATTGTCCAAGGAAGTTATCTTTCACCATTCCAATTTTATCCTCCAGGTCAGAGGGAAAGCAGAACCCCACTAGAGAGTCTTCCTGGTTTCCAGTTACCAGTCCAACAGGTGAGCCCTAGCTAGTCTAACTTGCCTGCATATGAAAACGCGGTTAGACCCGCACATGAAATACCTTATTGGTTTCCTGTTAAGGTGGTAGAATGTAACCAGTGGGGAATGACATGGGTTTCAAATGTGGTAATCATGTATTCACAATTTTCCAGGATGGTCTCAATTTTAAAGATTCTATCCTACTATCAGATTAACTTCCTGGTTAGGGGTTTAAAAATTAGGTCACATGGTAGTGAATGGCTTTAAAGTGAGAGGTCTTGGCCAGCGTGAACTAAGTGTGTAGACACAACTAACATTCCCAAAAGTTCCACCAAAAAGTATTTCAATGGAATATATCTTTTGGGTAGAGATACTGCTTGAACAAGGAAAACCCATGTGCACTTGTCTAGAGATGGTTAGGATAATGCTTTATACATTTATGGGACTATGATATGATGTAGGCTACAGAGGAAAAGGGCATGAACGAGAAGAGAGGTTTATAAGGAGCTCAACATGAAAAGGCCAATCTTGCCTTTTAACTTTTATGGCTCAAGTTTTGAGGATATTTAGGCCCTTTTTCCATGCCAACCTCCTGGTGACCCCAAAGACATACTATGGGAGGTAGTATTTTGCTCTCATACTCCAAGTGCCCTTTACTTTCATTGGTAAGAAATTAGGGTCTAAGCCCTAAGAGGCAACACTGGGGAAATAGCATCCCTGAGATCCTCACAAATGGAGGGATTAACCTACAGATGAAAAAATACCTGAGACATATAAACCATCTACAAATATATGGCCCCTAATTAGATTCTGATTGAAACAAAGTGTAAAAAAACAAAAACGAGGACAAAAAAACAAAAACATTTATGAGAAGGTTGAAAACTGAATACCTACTGGACACTTGTATTAAAGAATTGTTAATAGTTTTGTTTTTTTTGTAGGCATAATGCTATTGTGGTTAAGGTTTTTAAAATAGTCTATCTTTTGGAGATACACACTAAAATTTTTAGAGATAGGAAGTTAAACGACTTTCTAGGTTTTGCTTTAATATAATCTAGTGGACATGGGACAGAGAGAAAGTAGAAATGAAAAAAAATGGCCATAGTTATTTGTTGAAGTTGGGTGATAGGTACTCATCAGTTCATTATACCACTCTAATTTTGTATTTTTTGAAAATTTCAATAGTAAAATCAAAAAGAAACTATTAAAGGAAGTGCCACCTCCCCAGAGGCATAAGAATCCTGCCTCCCTGGTAATCGTCTCTGGGCATAGTAGTCAGATATTCTAGGTCTTCCAAAATAGTTTTTAAATAGTCTGCCCTATTATTACCATAAGCCACTAAAATGTTCTAGAGAGTTTCATAATTAGCAACAAAGCCTTTGTCGTACTAGATGTATCAAGCCTTAGTTTGGAAACGTTAGTTATCACACAGTAAGAGAAAACTATAGAGAAATAACAGCAGTGGTTTGCTGTCTTGATAAATTTCATGTAATGGTTTGAGAGGGCCTTAATTACCTTGTTATAAATCGCCCATATCTGCCTTCCTGCCTTCTGCTGCAGACTCTCTATGAACAGAGACAGATGGGGTTAGCCAGGTCAAGAGAAGCATGGACTACTTCCAGATAGATCATCTTCAAGGTCTGATCTCTTCATATTGCTTAAGGAAGGCCTATAACATCTAATACGCATTAAGTGTAATGGCCTTGGAAAATGTTTCCTCGTTTCATTGTGTATCCTTACCTCTCCTGATCTTTACCATATACACCCTGTATTACCTCCTGGAAAAATGGTCAGGCATTATATAAGGCTAGTACTTCAGGAGGGTTTAGATCTCTCCCACACTCATGTAACTCTTTCATTTCCTACAACTTAAAAGTTGTAAAAACAATTCTTGGCATCAGTAAGGATGGAAGGTAATATACTCATTAAGTCTGGTTCATTTCTAGATTTCATTCTTTTAGCTTTGAATATATTCTTCCATTGCCAGTGTTAATAAGCAACAGCTCTGTTCCTTGTCCTAATTTATTATACCTCTTCTGTTTGCATGTAGTTTTGTCTATGCCTAGTTAACTATGTTGATTTTCCTGTCTGTTGGATTACAGTTGGAGACCCAGACTTTCAGCTTACTAAAGTATATAGATAAAATAAAGATGTCTTATTGTTATTGCAGCTCTATTGGTATTATATCACAAGCTCTAGAATGGTGGAATGGGCAAAGAACACCACCGAGATGAAACATGTATTCTTTAGATACGAAATAGAAACAGATTAAATAGGTCGGCCACCTGCAGGAGGACCATAAGCAAAAATATCGAAAAAGAATAAAGATAGCAAACATCTCTCAGCAATAAATTAGGTCCTGGGGATGACCTTGAAGCTGAACCAGGATTGCCTATTCTTTCTGGAGCTCTGAATTTTTTTAAGGGCACTTCTAGACACCTCTTCTGGGCAAGAGCCTGTGCTATATAGCAGGTACAGGCAACACATCCGCCCAGTGATAGATACTAATGTGCTGCCTTTTAAAGTTTTTGTTTTTAAATTTTTTTAAAGGTGTATTTATTTTAGAGAGCAAGCACATGTGTGCATGTGAACAGGGAAGGGAGAGAGGGAGAGAATCTTCATGGAGAGGCCCTACTTAGTATGGAGCCTGATCTCACAACCCATGAGATCATAACCTGAGCGGGAAACAAGAATTGGACACCTAACCGACTGAGTCATCCAGGCACTCCAAGTTTTTTTTTTTTTTTTAATCTACCTCAGTATATCCTGCTGCTTTACCAAAAAAAAAAAAAAAAAGAGTATACTAAATCAGAATGTTAATGGATTTGGCTCCATTAATCTCTAAACCATGGAAGTGGCAAAGTGGAGGAGAGAGAAATAATTTTATTTTTGGCCTTTTTATTATTATTCTAGCAATTTGGGGCTTCCACTTTTATTTCTAGATGGTTACCCGTTGATATCTTTATATCTGATTCCACCTCATGAAAACCACTCTAAAACATCAATAATCAAGTCAGTTAAAGACCAGGGTCCCTCTGTCCCCAAGACAGATCCTATAAAGAGAGGGAAAAGTCTCAATTACAGACACAAATTGAACCAACACCAAAAAGATGAAAAATTAGTCTCTTGTCAAGCTAGGCAGGAGGGAGTTTCAGGTTTGTAAAACCAAACCTGGAACCTACCTGCACCCACCTTCTGAACAGTAGAAACTATCCCTCTTCTCTATCTCTCCATAACCTAATTCTACTTTTTAAAAGGACATTTCCCCTAATTCCCACATCCAATAAATATCCAATCTAAATTACTCTCCACCCAATTATTAAACTTTTCACAAGCTCCATGGGGAAGATTTACCCTGAGACAAATAGTGAACAGAATGGGGATTTTGGAAAAAGATTTAAGAAGTACAAGGCAAGATGGTCCCAGTATCAAAAATGAAAACATTCTGCTACCTGTGCAACTCAGTAACGAGGAAGGTAAAAGATACAGTCAAGTTGGTATGCGTTAAGGAAATACTTGTGATGAGACTGGGACATACTAAGACTCATAGCTGTATTATGGCATGGACTTGTGCTGAGAGAGAAGAGATACGAAGCAGCCTTACATTTCAGGGAAAATGGTGGGATTGGGGGATGCACTGTAATCATCAACTGAATCAAACTTCTTTACTCCTCCTTTCCAATCCTCCTATAGATGTGGGGCCAAGGTCTGGCCTCTCCATAGTACACTAAGGAAAAAGAACAGCAGACTTGAAGAGACCAAAAGTCTTTTCCCAGCTCATGGACCAGATCCTTAGCACTGTCTTCATTGAGACTAGAACCCTGATTTCTGCCCATCCAATCCCCACCTTTCTCTTTGGGTCCTATGGTCATCGTCCCTGGTCCACCCTCACTACATTCCCAATCCCCCAACCTCAAGAACACAAAGCTTTTCAGTTCTTTGCCACAAGGTAATTTAAAAAATGTGGTTTCTTTAAACAGTTACTAAGTTGGTTCATCTTTTAGTAACAGACCTTCCCTCCCCTAGTCCCCTCGACTCAGTCCTGTATGATCACATCATCATCGTCATCGTCATCTTCCTCCTCCTCCTCCTCTTCATCCTCATCATCTTCTGGCAGTTCTTCCTCCTCCTCTTCCTCCTCTTCATCTAGACAAACCACCACCTCAGCTGGCTCAGGTAATTGAGAGTCAAACCAATCCAGTACCTGCTGGGTGCTAAGCCTTGATGCCTGACTCAGTTGAGGGATATCACTTTCCCGTAGCTGTTGGTGGGCTGCCCAGTACCTCTCCAAGGGTCGTATATCCGGTGGGGGTGGGGGGTTTGGCAGAGGTGGTGTCTCAGCCCATTCATTCAAGGAGCGGGTTGAAGGTGGGGGTGTGGGAATTGCTGGGTCCTGGAAACTAGGGGCACCAGGTACTGCATTGTCCCGAAACCATTTTAGTTGCCCATGCTTCAAGGCATAGCGTGTGTCACCAAACCACTGAATAATCTCAGGCCGAGGTAAACCAGTGATCTGTTCTAATTTATGGTAATCCTCACGCCGTGCCCACTGGCACTGTAAAAAAAAGGATTTGAGGATAGCCAGCTGCTCTTTGGTTTTGCGTTTGGTCTTTCGCTGGCGTTGCATATCTGGGGAAAGGTACTCTGCAGGGCCAACCCTACCTGGTACTGAGTTATGTCTTAGCCCCTGAGGCCAGGCTGGCTCCAGATGTGGGGGCAGTGCCTGTTCATTGGGTGACAGTGGCTGTGAGATACAGCCCAGTGACTGGAGGGGTTTAGAGGTGGCAGTAGCTCCATTAGCCAGTACCGGGAAAGTAGAAGAAGAGGTAGAGGAAGAAGAAGGAGTCATATTAGATACTGACTCCTGCTTACAAGTACTAGTAAGTAGTGAGATTGGGGGGGGCTTTTCCCGAGCACATGGCTGGTGGATAGCTGTGGAGTGGTTCCAGGAAGCAGAACCTAGCCCATGTGACTGGTTGGGACCCCTGCCTGACTGCCCCTTAGAGAGGCCACTGCTTTGAAGATTCTGCCAAAAATCTGATTGGTGGGGGAATGCCCCACTGCCAGGTGCAATCAGGGGTTCCTTTGCCTTCTGCTGACTCAGCAGCTCTGAGGACTCCTCAGGCTCTACCTTCAATCCTTTCATCTGAGTGGACTCACTAAGAGTCAGGGGCACTATTCCAAGACCCATTTGTTCTGGGGGTGGCATTGGAGAAGAAGGCACCTCCTCTGGGGGCCGCCCTGCATGATGAGTAAAAGACAGAAGGGATTTGAAATGGAGCTGGTCCCGATGGTAGACCACTCGGGCTCGAGTCTCTTCTATTTCTTCAGATGACCAGCTAATGCCACAGCGGAGGCGCTGGGCCATGAACCAAGTCTTGACTTTCTCCATCTGCAGCCCATAGCGTAAGCAGAGAAGGGCAATGTCTGCTAGACTGGGATAGGGAAAGTAGCTGAAGGTTTGTAGCAAGTGTTCATTGCCATCCAGCTCACTGGTCTGGGCTGCTTGGGTCCACACAAGCTGTAGCTCCTCGGAGATTGGAGGGAGGCAGATGAGCCCCGCCGGGGAGCTATTAAGACTGCTGGCCTCTTTATTAGGAGGCATGGTGTTTTCTGATTTGTGCCCTTCAGAGATAGCTGTAATAAGAAGAGAAACAGCTCAATCACTGGGGCTCCTCTTTCAGCCCATTGTTCAATTTCTGCCAAACAAAATGTTGGACTCCAATTCAATCATCTATGTGTACCGTGTTGAATTGCCTTTACACTGCTTTAATAATTTCTCATTTAATTTTCCTAACTTTATGAGCCTGTTATAATTCCTGTCATATGTATGGAAAAAAAAAACAAAGTTCCATAGAAGTTAATTTAACCCCAAGTGACACGACTGGTGTATATTGTCACCAGGACAAAACTCTGTCTTTAGAGGTTAAGGAGGAAAATTCATCCTTATATTGCCTTTATTTTTCTAATTCAAACTCACTTCACCCTCAAAGTTCACAAGAGTCACAAAATGAAAACTCCACCACAAAAACCATGAGGTGCAGTAATCTCAGAACTGATGCAAATGCTTTAGCTCCTGACAATTTAGGATTACCTCTAAAATGTGAAGACGAATGAGGAATACAAGCGGAATATCTAGAAAGGACAGCACTGTTCCTCTGCCCAGCCCCCAGCCCCTTTCCACTTCCTTTCTGGGTGTTGGAGTCCTTTGGGGAGGGGAATGATGGTGCCTTTAAGTAAGCCCTAAACCCAAACCCCCCTAAGCTTTTTCTCTCTGTGGGATAAGAAGTCAGATATCTAGAATAAATGGCGCTTACTCCTCCTGGTTTTGGGGTCCTGTGGGGGTAGAGAGAGGGAACTGTTTCCACCAAGTCATCCTTGGAACAAAGGTTAGCCCCTCCCCCCAGCCTTTGTCTCTTCCAACAGCTCATTCTCTCTCCCGGGAGCCTGGAGAGCTCCCTCAGAATGTAACAGCCCCTCCACACAGGGTGGAAGGCCTGCCCCTCTTATCTTTGCAGCCCAGCTTTCTTCTCAGGGCCAGGTGGGCAGATTCACTATGAATTGCAGCCAGGTCCTGAAAGCTCCCCAGCAGCACCACTGCTCCCAGGACTGTGGGTATGGAGGCTGCAGGGAGAGCCCTTGACTCTGCATCGTTCCTGAAATACCTGTTCAGGTTATTTCCCAGAAAGGTCTGTTGACCAAATTTTCACTCAGCTCCCTGTCTGGGCACTAGTAACTCCCTGACACATCTGTCACCCTTAATTCTAGAGGAATCCCATCTGAGTTTATAAATATTTACTTTTGGTAGGTTAAGGATGGGATAGGATTCCTATGTAAATGCTATATGATGAACAGAAAATCTCAAGTCCAGGAAGTTATAGTACAGTGTGGTTATCAAGGGACTTTATATGACGATTAGAAAAAGTTGGAAGCATTTTAATGTGTCATGGTTTCCTTTTAACAAGTGGATCTAATGAACCAAAGGCAAATCCGATCCTAAAGTCTATACAGCTCGAAGAGAACCTTAAGAGGGTAAATGGAGGCAGCATGGCACAGTAGGTAGAAATATGATTCTTGAGTAAGGCCAACCTGCAGTTTGAATCCCATCTCTGCCACTTACCAGCTATGTGATCTTGGGGAAGTTCCTGAATTTAAATGAGCTTTAGTTTCTTCATGTGTAAAAAATGCACACAGTGCTGTCTGGTAAAGTTATATATTTTTACCAAGTACCTACTATATGCTAGGTGTCAGGTGTAGGCAAGACCTAAAGCAGCTGTTGGGGTGGAGGTCTGGGGTGAGGCAGAGTTGAGATCAGTTGCAGCTCTAACTCTTCCTAGAGTCCTGCCAGTCCTTGGACAAATTATTTAACCTAAGCCTTAGTTTCCTATTAGAAAAGAAAGGCAGTCAAAACAGCACCTTCCTCACAAGTTTATGGCCAAAAGAAAAAATGCAGTTGACATGATGCCTAGAACAAAGTAAAGGCTCAATAAAGCACAGCTTTTCTCATTACTTCAGCCTCACAGGGTGATTCTGATATAAGGGAATGCTCCTCCTAGACAAGGAGGGAAGTGAAACAAAGGCTACATTCTTTAAAATCATGGTTTTCAATCTGTTTTTGCAGAGTCCTAATTCTAATGAGCAGTGGAGGAAACCAGGATATCCATGATTTTATGCTTTTTATATTTTGGGAGTTGGAAATAATTCCAGAATGGATTATGCTGTTAAAACAAAACAAAAAAAAAAAAAAAAGGATGAAAATCACAGCTTTAGAATTGAATCCATAATTTGGACATAAATCCTTTTTGATTGCCAGATGAATTGCCAATGTAGTAGTAGCTCTACTTTTAGTCTCCAAGTTTATCCCAGACACAGCTGAGTGGCCTGTGAGCAATTGTTTGCACAGCCAGGTGCTAAGCCACCATTTAGACACTGTGGCCCGTTAAGACCACCACCAAACCTAAGGTGGAGAATACTTTATGACCGCAACACTTGACATCTACTTAACCTTATTTGTGTCCTTTTTTTTAAGGACACAATTACACTTTAGATAAGAGAAAACTGTAGCATAAGGAATAAAGCAGTCCAGTGTAAGGATGAAGACTGCCGGACAGGAAATAAGGCAGGCACAGCTATAAGCCTTACAAGGAAGCATTTTGCTTTCGTTCATGTGGTGTGCTATCCTCCAGATTCCCATGGTATCAGTTTGATGTTTCAGTATAATATACAGTAATGCAAATACCAAATTTGGTGTACTGTATGCATCCAGTTTTCTAATTACACAAAACAAATTACGGAAGATTTCCTGATATAGAATAGTGACTTAAATCAAGGCACAGCTGTATAGCTACCTGGTACCTCCCTGGAAGAATCTGCCTTTGACATAGGAAGAAACTACAACCAGAGTGTGGCTCATGAGAACTATAACGAGGAGGGTATACCTCACAGTAGTCAAAACCACAGTGAAGACACTATGGTGTCTTGTGTTCTTGCGCCTCCAGCTGGAAGGGGAAGAAAAAGAAGGGAATCAAAACTGGGGAAATAAGGACTCCTATGGGCAGAGATGATAGTGATGGTGGGATTATCAATTCTGAATAATTACTAAATTTGTACCCTTATTAAATATGCTGGATATGCCCTACTGCTACATCAAGCAGCTAATAAAAAATATGAGAAAAACATATATATATATAGAGAGAATAACAGCACCCTTCTTTCCCTTTGGGCTTTCCATACCCATAGACAGGCAGCAGAAAAGAATGGGCTACCTTAAACTTCCAGTCTAGGTGTCCATACAAGTCTAGGAAAAGAGGTGTTCACAACTTTAGGCTTGAGCCTAAACTTATGGTTAAAGCAGAAGACAGTTCAAATGAAAAACTAATGATCCTGCAAAGTTACCCTCTATCTTTATTCAAAGAATTGAAATACTCCCTGAAATGTGTTTTGGTGATAGTTTTAAGGACCTTAGAGAATTTTTAGTGGTATTCAACTTATGTGCTTCTCAACTTTTTGGATCATGAACCTCTTTGAGAATCAGATAAAGGTATGGACTCTCCCTCAGAAAGTTATGACTACCCCCCCCCATAAACATCCAAACTCACATTATATATATAATCTCAGAAGCCCCAGTTAAGAACTTCTGAATTATGTCCTCCCAACTTAATAAAAAAAAAAAAGCAGTTTTTTTATGGTATGTTTTAGAAAAGCAGTTTTCTATGGTAACTGCTTAAAGAGGAAATACAGCTTGATGTGAATGAATCGAAAGAGTGGATGGAAGACTCAAGAGAATCTAGAAGGTACTGGGGTATTGGTGATATTAATTGGAGAGAGTGGAAGGGAGAGGTGTTCAATTGGGCCAGGAGCCGGGCTTAACTGACCCACTGGATTATATGACCAACACCTTACAGTGAACTGCATACTAGAGGCTGGTGGCCTATTCTCTAGTGTGCCAAAACCATCTTTCTTCAGCTGCCCTGTGTGCTTGGACCAGTTGTGTGATTCCCAACCTGTTTATGCCCATATTTTTTTATTCATATAATAATGTCATTAAATAGCACAAAAACCTATGAAAAATTAGTGCACTAAAAGTTGTTTCTATGAAAACAAAGGCAAATGTTTTGGAAAGACAATACAAAGGAGTGTACAATTGTTGAGTTGGGAGTAGTAGGCAACTATAAAAGACTGGAAGGGCAGGGGACTTAAAACTCTCAAAAGTTTTCTGCATTCAGATTGCTTCAAAAGTGTTCAAATTTTCACTGCATTAAAAAGAACCCCAAACCTAGAAATCATAGATGAGAGGTGGTGACACATCAGAATTACCTGGGAAACGTAAACCAGGGAACCTTCCTCATTTTGACTTAGTCTGGACTGGGGCCCAGGCATCAGTACTTTAAAAGGTTCTCAGGGTGCCAACAGATTTGAGATTTGCTTGTGTAGTTTATACTAGAAGGCAATTGGGAACTCCAATCATCAGACTTACACAAAGAAAACGCCTGGACACTACCCCAAAAGATTGGTGAAATGAACATACTTTTAATGACAACGATTAAAGATACGTATGAATCATTAAAAAAAATTCCCAAGTCTGACTGGCTTTTTTTTTCGATCATTGCCATTTACCTGTTCTAATCCTATAATATAAAAGAGCTTCAGATGTATGGTGAGGAGGTTCATATGTAAAAGATCTGATGTGGGCCCACATTACCAAACACGTCTCGGCTTGAGTCTTCTTTCAGTTTAGAAGTCTCAGATTAGGACGCAAAACCAGGAACCTCTGAGGATTCGGGTTCTCACCTTCCCGGTTTGTTCGGAGTATGGCTGGGTAGGGGGTCAGAAAGGGCAGTTTCTCCCAAACCTTTCATTCCCAAAGACCACTGCTCCCCAGAAGGCAGGCCAGATTTCTGTACGTGTGTTGAGGTCGCCAGAAGGTAGTCGTGGGGGGAGGAGAGGCCTGGGAAGGAAACATTTCTCCTATCCTCCATTTCGCAGGCAGTCTACAAGGCTCCAAACTGGGTCAGAGAACAAAAAGTTGCTGCACTTGGGGCGATGAGCCCCAGGGAGCAGACGAATTTCGGTCCTCCCCTCGCGGAGGGCGTCCCAACCCAGCCTTCTCCTCCCTACACACCCACTCACCCTCCCCCAGTTACAACAGGGAACCGAAAAGTCCAGAGGAGAAAGGAGAGAGAACCGGGCGACTTCGAGCCTAGAATTCTCCTCCCCCCCTGAGCCTGGGGATGGGGCTCCGGAGGTCGGAGATCACGCAGGGGCTGGGAGGGGAAGTCGAAGGGGCTGGGGATCACTCACCGCGGTCCGGCCCGGGCGGCGGCTCCCAGCCTCGCACCATGGGCCGGGGGGAAAGGGGGAGAAAGGGCAGGGGGCCTCCGGGGTGGGAATGGGGTTCCCGCCCGGTGCGGCCTGCTCCAAGCCCACCCGCGCGGAGGGCCGGGACCGGGACTGCCCCCCCTGTCCCCGAGAGCGCGCCCGTCTAGCCCAACCCTGCTCGAGCGAGTTGGAGGCGGGGCGGCTGGGTGGGGCGGGCTCCGGGGGCGGTGCCAAGGTGGCCCGAGCCCCGATTGGTGGAGGCGGCGGGCGGGCACCGGCGGAGTGCACGGGGGCGGCCATTGGCTGCGTGAATCTCGGCTGAAGTCGGTTATTGGCTGCGTGGGCCTCAGCTGGGGTGGCGATTGGCTGCTTGGGGCAGGGAAGATGTCCCCCGGGGCCAGGGTGCTGCGAACGGTCCCCCCTCCCTCGCCTCCGACCTTACGCGCCGGACCTCCGGAGCAGCTGAGCGCTGGTCCTCCCGGAGGAGTCCCCCAAGGAATCCGCCGCAGTTTGCGGAATTGTCCAGGACTCCCTTGCAACTACTCCCCGTCCCTTCCTCCTGAAGGAAGACTTTTTCAGCATCTCCTTGCCAGCCTTACGCACAAGTAGGGCCGCGCCGCGCCGCGCCGCGCCTGCCCAGCCGTCAGCAGCGTCACTGTAAAACGAGGCGCCTAGAGCCAACGGGAACTTGTTCCCCGGCTGGATCAGATGTCTTGCCGCCTGAAAGACGAGGATCCTAGGAGCCCGGCACCCTCGGAACACCGGACCAGTGTTCCCAAAGACTAAGTGCTGCAAGGAGCACCTGTTTGGGACCCACCAGACCCCTAGGCCCCCCCTCTGTCCCAGGGAGGAGGAGGACCTGGAACTCTGACTTGTCTTTAGGAACCTTCGTTTTTGCTGTCAAGAAAGGGATGGCGGTAAAATGGATTTTTCACCAAAGTCGCCACACACTCTTAAGTTGTGGGCTGAAAGTTTTTATATTTTGGATTCTTAGTCTTCAGACTAAACTTGGGAACAGTCCTTTCTGAAGTGATTCTTTTGTTCTCATGCTGGTCCTCAAAAAAGTCAGTCTCTTCTTGCCTATTTCGGTCACTTAATAGTTTACATAACTACAGTAATTTATAAAACAATTTCAGATGTCGCTCTGCATTCCAGACACCACCTCTCCCCGTATACTCCCTCCAAAATCAACCCCCATTATGGATTCTTTATTCCTCCAATTTAAAGTCTAGAATGCTGTCTTAGTTGTCAGACATCAGAAATACGCTTAAGCACTGAGCCCTATTTCATTTATGTTATTATCCCTGTGTTTCTCCCTGCGCACCTCCTAGCCCCATTACATCCAGTAAAAAATTCAACCTTTTAAGAGCCAGGCCCACAATCTTACAACTGTGTATCCAGCAAAAACATCATAAGCATATTAGCGTTAGCACAAGTACAGCCCTCTCAGGCCCCTGTGAACAAGAGCTGAACTTTACCCTACGTCAGTTACAGGAAAAACCGCAGAACGCCCTTGACAGAATGCCCTTGACAGAAAGTCCCATATCGGAATGAAAACAGAGCTTAAGAAACTCCCCCCACCCTTTCCCCCATATTGGAATGAAGAAATTCCTCCACCCCTTCTGGAGGTCCCCTAGACCAGCCCATAAAAACCCAGCTGGAACCCACCTCAGGGTCCAAGTCCCTGCTCCACTGTGTCGGGTGTACTTGGACCCAAGCTCGAGCTTGCTAATAAACCCTCGTGCGCTTGCATCGGTGTCGGCGTCGGCTCCTTGGTGGTTTCTCGGATTCGCAATCTTGGGCACGACATTTGGGGGCTCGTCTGGGATCCGAGAAACCCCCAGGACCCCATCTGGAGGGTCCCACGAGTGGTGAGTGCACTCAACTTTTTCTACCTTTTGCGTGCATATTCTCTGAGAGCTCTAAACTGTATTTTAACCTGTAGGAATTCCAATGTGTATTAGGTCGACATTGGCTTAGGTGGACACGCTGGCAGGCAGTCGATCGGGGGTCTTGGGAGACGTCCCTTGCCCCCGCCTGGAGGACGGGGTCCTCATCTGTAAGGAGGGTCGACTGCCAGCCCTTCAGTTTACTTTCCGTTTTGTCTCCGCGGCCGCACTGGAACGTTTGTCTGTGTTCTTTGTTAACTGTCATAACTGTCTGTGCCTTGGTGTGGGACTGGGGACATAATGGGGCAGACACAAACCAGCCCCTGTCTCATGCTCTCCCACTTCTCGGACGTTAGGGAAAGAGCTCATAATCTGAGCACAGACATACGGAGAGAAAAATTTCGAACTTACTGCATGACGGAATGGCCGAACTTTGATGCGGGATGGCCCTGAGAAGGAACTTTCCACCTACCTATTATCTTACAGATTTAGGCTGTGATCTTCAGGAATAAATCTGACAGCCACCCTGACCAGGTGCCCTACATCCTGGCCTGGCAGGACATGATCGAGAATCCCCCTCCTTGGCTAAAACCATTTTTACCCCCCAAAGCAGGACCTACCAAGGTTCTAGCCCTGCGGAAAGGCCGCAATTATCATGGCTTTTGTTAACCAGGCCGCTCCAGACACCAAAAGAAAATTGCAAAGAGTAGAGAGACTCGGAGAGAAGAGCTTGCAGGACTTAAAATAGTAGCAGAAAGAGTTTATAATAATAGAGAAAGTCTGGAAGAGCAACAAACTAAACTAAGTGACCAGCTAGCCGATTCAAAAGCAAAGGAGATGGCCCTTTCGATGACCCAAGTCTTAGCAACCACGCTACCCGATCCAGGGGCACCGACCCTGCCGGACACCCCCAACTATACTGATGCTGACTTACACTGGATCAAAAGCTTGCCTATGACCCAGTGCTTGCGTGGCTGGTGGAGGGCCACAGACTCCAGCATCATCCTGCCAGAGGAACTAGGACAGCGAGTTCTATCCAAAATGCATCGGAGTACTCACATGGGAACAAAAGGATGGAAGACCTCATATGACAAGCAAAGATCACTATTAAAGACTCTTGAGGGATCCCTGGGTGGCACAGCGGTTTGGCGCCTGCCTTTGGCCCAGGGCGCGATCCTGGAGACCCGGGATCGAGTCCCACGTCAGGCTCCTGGTGCATGGAGCCTGCTTCTCCCTCTGCCCATGTCTCTGCCTCTCTCTCTCTCTCCCTGTGTGACTATCATAAATAAAAATTAAAATAAAAAAATCTTTAAAAAAATAAATAAAGACTCTTGAGCAAAGATCGAGCAGATTGTGGTGAGCTGCCACGTGTGCCAATTAACTAATACCACTGCCCATGGATCTAACCCGGGTACCCAGCTACGGGGGGACCGCCCAGGAGCCTACTAGGAAGTGGACTACACTGAGGTAAAACCTGGAAAATACAGATACAGTTATTTACTAGTGTTTGTACATACTTTTTCAGGATGGACAAAGCCATTTCCCACCAAACATGAAACAGCACAGACTGTGACCAAGAAACTGCTGGAAGACATCTTACTGAGGTATGGTTTTCCTGTTAAGATTGGATCAGACAATGGAACAGGATTCATCTCTAAGCTGTGGCCTAAGCTGAGGTGACTGGGTGTACTTCCAGAGATACCAACACCAAACACTTCAACCTCACTGGAAGGGACCCTACATCGTGAGCCTGACCACTCCCACCGCTCTCAAGGTCGACGGGATTACTCCCTGGGTCCACTACACCCACATCCAGCCAGCTGACCCACACGCTGTTCTCAAGGACTTTGTTCCAGAATGGAAAAGTCAACCGGACAAGGACAATCCCCTAAAGCTAAGACTGTGCCGTTCTCACTTACGCCACTAATGTTGCTTATGCTCTGTACTCTTCATGCCAGAACCAATCCCCATCAGCCACTTAATCTAACCTGGCAGGTGATAGATGTCTCAAGGGGAGAAGTAATATACTCCATCTCTAAGAAAGCACCTCCACAGACCTGGTTCCCAGACCTTACTTTTAACTTACCTCAACCTTGCCAGGGATACTGTGGAGACTGGACAGATCAATGCTTTTATGTCTGTCTGGGGCATCTTAAAGGGAACCTACGTAAATAGTGCAGAGACCCCTCCGATTTCTATTGCGCCTCTTGGAGTTGAGTCTTCACCGGAGATATTTGATGGACCTCCCCCTTCAGCAAGGATCTGATCACCCTTAAACGCGACTCCACAACCCGGGGGCGCCACCGAACAGGGCCCAGGAGTGGGGCCAGACTAGTGACCCTGAGGTTTACAGAGGCCGGTAGAATAGAGAATAGGTGGCAAACAGGACTTACCTGGGGCCTGCAATTCTGTTCACAACTGGGATCAGACCCCAGTATCCTGTTTACTGTTAAACTCCAACACAGGGATATCCGTTGGGTTGCCTTAGGCCCAAACCCTGTGCTAGTACCTCCTCCGCCTAAACCTCAGACAACTCCTATCTCGCCACCCCCCTCCCCTATACCTACCATGCCATCTGCGTTCAGTAACACCCCTGATGCAGACACAATCACTCCCGTCCTGGCCTCCTTCCCACAAGATCCTCCTTTCCTCAGCCCCTCTCAGCATCCACTTTGGGACCTGATGTTCCAAGCTTACAGGTTCCTCAATGCGACTAAGTCCAATCTTACCCGATCTTGCTGGCTCTGCTATGACATCCGGCCTCCCTTCTATGAGGGAATCGCGATGTTAGGTCAGTAAACAACCTTCGACCCTAATGCCTGTAGATGGCATCAAAAGACTCAAGGACTCACTTTACAATCAATGTCAGGTCAGGGACTCTGTATAGGCACCCCGTCACCCCAAAACCAGTCCCTATGTAATGATACAAAATCTATATCTAGCCTAGACTACCACCTACCTCAAGACGGTTGGTGGGCATGTTCTACAGGCCTAACCTCCGGTTTTCATGGCCAGATTCTAAATCAGACAAAGAGTTTCTGCGTGCGAGTTCAGCTACTTCCTAAAATTATCTACCACTCAGATGAGCAGGTACTTCACTGGTTCAATGCAGGTACCCACAGACGGGATAGGAGAGAGCCCATCTCAGCTATCACCATCGCCACCATGTTGGGAATTGGGTTAGCAGGTGCAGGGACAGGTATTGCTTCACTAGCTTTATAAAACTCCCACTATAACAGTCTCAGAGCAGCAATCAATCTAGACACAGAACAGAGAGAAACCTCTATTTCCCACCTCCAAGACTCCCTAATATCTTTGTCTGAGGTTGTCCTTCAAAAGAGAAGGGGATTAGACTTAGTCTTCTTACAACAGGGGGGATTATGTGCTGCCTTAAACAAGGAATGTTGCTTTTTTATTGACCACTCTGGAATAGTTCGAGAATCTATGGCAAACGTCAGAGAAGTTTGGCTAGAAGTAAACGGGAGTGAGAACAGCAACAAGGTTGATTTGAATTCTGGTTCAATCATTCCCCCTGGCTCACTGTCTTGCTGTCCACCCTAGCCGGGCCCCTTATTATCCTCCTTCTCCTCCTTACCTTCAGGCCCTGCATTATCAATAGGTTAATTACTTTTGTCAAAGACAGAGTCAGTGTCTGCACCCAGTTCAGCTCATGGTACTCAGACAGCAATACCAACCACTGGACCTTGTTACTGAGACCAACCTGGACCCATGATTGGGTCCTTCCTTAGGTTCCTTTGAGAGGGGGAAATGTGGAGGCCGAGAAAATTAAGGCCATTGCACCTCAAGTTTAGCGTTAGCCCAAGTACAGCCATCTTAGCTTCGGCAGCCCTCTCAGGCCCCTGTGAACAAGAGCTGAACTTTACCCTACTTCAGTTACAGGAAAAACCGCAGAACGCCCTTGACAGAATGCCCTTGACAGAAAGTCCCATATCGGAATGAAAACAGAGCTTAAGAAACTCCCCCACCCTTTCCCCCATATTGGAATGAAGAAATTCCTCCACCCCTTCTGGAGGTCCCCTAGACCAGCCCATAAAAACCCAGCTGGAACCCACCTCAGGGTCCAAGTCCCTGCCTGCTCCACTGTGTCGGGTATACTTGGACCCAAGCTCGAGCTTGCTAATAAACCCTCGTGTGCTTGCATCGGTGTCGGCTCCTTGGTGGTTTCTCGGGCACAACATATATACTCAGCTTTAAAGTTAGAAACTTCTGATTCCTCAGGGTTTAAGCCTGGACTGGTGGTATGCAGACTTTGTCCTAAATCATGACTATCCCCATGCCCCAGTGGTTTGTTATATGATGAAGGGAAAAGTGAAACATTTTAGGCAGCAGCAGCCTCAGTTTTCAGTGGAGATGTTGTTCTCTCATAATCCAAACAAATAACAAGACAAATAACAAATAACTTCCCGGTTGACCGGGAAGAACTCATGCTTATCAAGCTGGAAAGCCAGGCAAGCAATGTCTGTGGGCACTTAATGCCTGCCCCTAGAGGATTTAGTTTGGCTCTCTGGCAACACTGATCATAGGCTTGGAAATCTGAAAGGTGGACAACTCTGCTCATTAAGACACTCACTCCTGGGATAACTAGGTGGCTCAGCAGTTGAGCCCCTGCCTTTGGCTCAGGGTGTGATCCTGGAGTCCTGGGATCGGGTCCACATCAGGCTCCCTGCATGGAGCCTGCTTCTCTCTCTGCCTATGTCTCTGCCTCTCTCTCTCTGTGTCTCTCAGGAATAAATAAATAAAATCTTTAAATAAATTAAAAAAAAAAGAAAAGACACTCACTCCTGAGACTCCAGAATAGGGAGCAGAACTGGACAGGTTTAGGAGAGGGAAAATCCAGGGATAGAAGAAATCCACCTGCCCCTATTCTAGAGTGTGTGCTGAAGACTCCCTCTTATGTGGATTTCACTCTAAAACTTTAGAAGATGGAGTGGACTGTATGGGGATTGGAAGAGAGGAAGAGATCCAGGCTATCCGAGATGGGAGGGCCCCACCTTTAGCAAGACAACGAACCTTCCCAGCTCTTCCAGGGACTAGTGCTGAAGAATGGGGACTCATCATGCCATCCTCAATATAGAGATGTTAATCCCCCATATTGGTGGAAATTCTCTCTTCCTTTGCATGACTTAGATATTAGCAGGATTAACCAAGAGGCACATTTACCCTATAGCTAAGGAAGCTGAAGTTTCAGGGCCATCTCTTGCACAGACCTCTTCCAAAGCACTGAAGGAGCCCCAAGAACATGTTAACATGGTCATAGTTTTTTATAAACTTGAAAAAAATATTTCAACTGCAATTGGCTCAGATTGATGTCTCTTTCCTTTCTGACTCCCCTTCCATTATACTTCTTTTGTCAAGTGGCAGTGGAGGAGCCATAGGCATTTTGGGATTGGCTAAGGAAATTAAGTTGGGGATACATTTGCTTTGGGTTGAGTAGGTATATCACTGTGGTTTGCAGTTACTTCTGTAAATAGTTTAATAGTAAGCATACTGTTAGGGGCTGAACTGTGTTGCCCCCCCCCCCACACACACACTCCATATTCTTTTTTTTTTTTTAATTTTTATTTATTTATTTATTTATTTATTTATTTATTTATTTATTTACGATAGTCATACAGAGAGAGAGAGAGAGGCAGAGACACAGGCAGAGGGAGAAGCAGGCTCCATGCACCGGGAGCCCGACGTGGGATTCGATCCCGGGTCTCCAGGATCGTGCCCTAGGCCAAAGGCAGGCGCCAAACCGCTGCGCCACCCAGGGATCCCCACACTCCATATTCTTACTGTGAAGTACTAACTCTCGATACCTTAGAATATAACTGTATTTGGAAACAAGGTCTATAAAGAGGTAATTAAGTTAAACTGAGGTCTTCAGGGTGAGTCCTAATCCAATATGACTGGTATCTTTAGAATAGGAAATTTGGACACAGACACGAACATAGGAATGACCATGGGAACAGATAGGGAGATGGGTATCTATAAGCCCAGGAGAGGAACCTCAGAATGAAGTCAACCCTGTGGATACCTTGACCTCAGACTTTTACCCTCTACAATTGTAAGGGAATTTCTGGCTAAAGCCACCCAGTCTGTTGTATTTTGTATGGCAGCTCTAGCAGACTAATACACTTACATTAATACTAATGTCAATGATCCAGAGCATATTAGTCATTACAAATTTGAAATGCTCTGAAATTTTATATCACATACATCAAGGAAATTTAAGTGTTTTTTTCAAGTTTGATAAAAATCAGAAAAAAATTTGTGATATTCTTATCACTTATAAAGTGTGAAGGTGAAAGTTTTCTAAATCACTAATAATAAAAAAAAGTGTCATGTTGACTTTTCTATACTCCTTAGAGAAATCATAATCATCATAGAAGCTATCAAGAGCATGCACTCAAAAATAAAATTGTAAAAAAAAATGCTTGTCAAGTAGGTTTTAAATTTTTATTTTTCTTGATTTTATGATATTGTGGTATTTGTCAGCTCTTTAAAATTTTTATCTTTTCTCATTCTAAACTATTTTCACTTTTGTGACTAATGTATTTTTCTTTTAAAAAGCCTCCAAAAAGGGGCATCTGGGTGGCTCAGTGGTTGAGCATCTGCCTTTGGCTCAGGGTGTGATCTCGGGGTCCTGGGATAGAGTCCTGCATTGGACTCCCCATGGGGAGCCTGTTTCTCCCTCTGCCTATGTCTCAGCCTCCGTGTCTCATGAATAAAATTTTTAAAAAGCCCCCAAAATTGTGCTTCAAGCACCCCAAAACTAGCATCTACCCCTGGGACAACCCAAATGGATATGGGGAGTTTCTGCCTCACTTATGGGAAACATGCTCCACCATTTTGTGCCCGGTCTCCTAAGAAATCCAAAAGCTGAGGGCTGACCAATCAGAACTGCAACTATTAAAAGATTTGGGATAGCTAAAGCTGCAGTGAAGGAATTTGTGGAAGAATTTCAGACAGACGTAGCACTAAACTGTGAGAAGCCAGGAAAGACATTAGGGCCACGGAGGGACTTTAGGCAATAAGCCACAGAGAAAAACCCTGGGAAGCCCCCACTTACCTCTCTTTGGGTGTCTGCTCCTCATGCTGACTCTACCCTTCAGCAGATCTAGCTTCACAACGTTAGTGTGGGTGCTCTGTAGTGACATCACAACTTGGCCATTATGATGAAATTAGGAGAATCTGATTATTCTCAGGTTAGGGCTTTCCTATTAGAAACATTGTCTCATTTGTGGGTAACTGGATTCTCTCATCGTTCAGGTGATGTGGAAGTCAAAATTAGGTTAGAACCTGATCTTTTTCAAGGATGCCTCACTTTAATATTTATTGTTCCACTCTGGATTAGACAGAGGTCTTTGCTTTTCCTCTTCATATTTCTTGTGCTTTACTTTAGGGTTGCCCTTGATAGAGAAAAGGGCTTTGCTCTGCCCTTCAGCGCTTAAGAAGAATGTAACTTAGATGGCCCCCAGACACAAGGGGAAACTCTGGGCTTTTACCCTTTAACTGTACCAGGAATTGGTGCTGGGTGCTAGGGAACTAGAGCTGGGCCCCCTGACAACTTTCCTACCACTATCCAAATGGTGGGATTCTATTGGGGTGTCTTATACCAGTGCTGCTCCTCTGTATCTTCTGCCCATCCAACTTTTGTGTAGCAATAGGACAACAATGGACAGGGCTTTTCGGAAATGAGATAACCAAAAAATGGGAAATAGGGAAGAGGAATCTTGCCGCTGGGTCTCTTGCCACCCTCCCCCCACCCCCGAACAAATCAATTTATCTCAGTATCTTATACTTTCATATTTTACCTTTATTTCAAACATGAGGCCTCTTAACCAGAAGGGAGGGCAGTTGCATGAGGAAGCTGAAGTGAGGCTCAGCGCTGGTGGGATTGGGGCCCAGAGAACAGGGCTGTGCTGTGAAGGGAATGAGGACACTCTGCAAGGGCCTGATGAGAACTGTGGTTTGGGGGGATTCACATAGCAAACTTGCAATTCCTCTCCAGGTTAGCTAGTCAATGGGTGGGTTATTCAGTCTTTTTTTTTTTTTTTTTTTTAGCAACTTCACTGTTCCTTAGCAATATCACCCAAAGCGCGAAGGCTTGGGAGAACAGAGAAAAAACTACAAGTGCCTTTTGTTTCTTTTTATGCCGGGATAGAAAAGGGAGTGGAAACTAGCAGCAGAAAATGAAACATTTGTGATATTATCCTTGCCATGAAAAACCCCAGGTCTGATTGTGCAGCAGCCTGTTTTCTAGCCTGGGAGTGGGATATGGTCAGGAAGGCTGGGGTTAAGCCCCATCTCCAGCTGCACTAACAAATTCTCTGGCCCTGCTGAAGTCACTCCATCTCCAGACCTGTGTTCTCATCTGTACTGAAGCAGGGACCCCAGTGATCTCTAAAGATAAGCTTTTCCAGGTCTCTGATTATATGACTTGCAGATTGCAGGGATCCAGAGGAGCTCCAGAGAAACACAGGTGTTAGAAGCAAAGGAAGGCGGGTGTTAGACTGAAAAGTTCAGGAGTTAGGACTTACTACGAAGAGAAATAATGAGCTGCATTCATAAAGAGAAACAAGGTACAAAAAGAAGGCTCATAGGTGTTAAGACAGGTTGGTGTAGGGAAACATCTGAGGTCTAGATGAGAGAAATGGGCAATGTTCCAGCTGTGTTGCTTCAAGGGTTCAAGCCCCTAACCAGGGTAATGTTTTCTCTTACAGTGCTGTCTCGTCCACAGCTGACGTATTATATGTTAAATTGTTCCAGTTCGTATAGTCACCAGCCTTTAGGGGAAAGGACTCATCCCAATGCCTAATATGTAACACATCTCTAAAGATTGCTTCAACTTCTAGTATTTCCCATTCCAGATTACACCACCAGCTTACCCCCAGGCCCTGGGGCAGCTCTATATGGGAAGAACTAGAAGATTCAGGTGTTGGTTCTCTAAAGCTGAGAATGGGGGGGTGGGTGAGCCATGGTACTTCCTACAGACAGAGCTCAGGGAAAAATGGATTATCCTTGGTTCCTTGTCTCCAACCAGTTTACATTTCCACTCAATAATACCCAGGCTTGCAGAAAGGACCCAAGCACAGACCATTTGGCAGTTGTCCGAGTCAGGGATACCTTTTAGTGGAAACTTTAGGGACTGGTCAGTTCCAGACTAGTCCGGGGAGTTGGGTGTCACACCAACAAGTGTGGGTTGGTTACAGCCAGGAGAGAATCCCAATCAATGTACAGAAAAGGTGGAGTTCAAATGGGTTCCCAAGTTCTCTAGCAGGCAGGCAGTGTGGTACCTTGCTGATTCTGCAGAGCCAGAACACTGGTACAGGAGAGAGCAGCAAGCTCCTGCATGGAGCTTGGGACCCTCAGTACTATGCCTTCTCTGAGCCAGTTTGGAAGACTGGGAGGATGGGAAGGCAGAGCAATTAGAAACTGTGTTCTTTTCCTAATAAAAGATTATATATGGCAGTTTTCAGTTTTGTTTAAAGTAAAAAATACAGTAACGTGGCTATGCATAGAAACTCTGGAGATCCTAACTATGCCATTTACCAGAGACGTGAGCTTGGAACAAATTACTTAGCTTTTCTGACCTGTTTTCTCATCTCTGAAACAGGGATAATATTTCTCAACTGACAGAGTTGTCCTGAGGATTATAATGCATGCACGACACCAGATTTTAGTTGCTAAGTAAAGGTGAGCGATTATGATTGTTAATACAACATGACAATAATGCATACACATTAGGCAAGAGATTATTATACATTGAGCCTCAACCCAGGCTCCTCCTTCTCCATCGTCCTCCCTTGGGCTCTTCATCGATGACTAAAAAGCGCATTGTTTGGTGGCTTCCAGGAATTTCTTTCTTCACTCTGCTGGAACTTTGACCTGAAGATGACCCACAAGATGCATGAAATTTTTTGTTTTCTTCATCAGGTAAGGATGGTGTTTAAACCGGCATTTCTTTGAGGAGCGACTCGAGATTCCTCTTTTTTGGCCATCTTCCTTCAAAAGACTAAGGCTTTGGATAGGAGGGGCATGGTAACAAGCCCCATACTCTGTTCTGAATGCATGTATGGGCCCATGTGCATGCACTCTCTGACTTGGTAATAAGGAAGAGGGGGATTCAGAAATTTTTAAGAAAGTAGTAACAGATAAAAAAAGGGTGTGGGGAACTGGTTACCTGGGAGCAGCTGTTCATCTGCATCAGGAACTGCTTCTTTCCCTCTTCTCCCTTCTAGAAGACTGTCAAGAAGGAGCCTGAGGAAGGAAGGTGGATCAACCATGGTCTTGGAGAAGGGAAGAAGGTTCTCCACCCCTTCTGGAGGGAGAAGGAATAGCAGAGATCAACAAGGACGAAGATGGAGGCAAATGGAAAAGAGAAAACGAAGGTGAATACCCTGTATGCTAAAAGGAAAATGAAAGTGATGAGAGAGAGGGACAAGGAAAGGAAAAAGCTTAGGAATAGGGCAAGAAAGGAAAGGAAAAACTACTAGCAGAGGTTAGCCAGGAGGGGAGACCTAAGGCATGACTGTGATAGCAGAGTCCAGCTTTCCCACTCTACTTGCTCAGGGTATGGAACAGACTGCCATCTTCTGGTGCCACTTAATTGGCTTTGATTCTTGATTTGAAATGTTTTCCATTTCTCGTATCCACAATCCTTTATCCTAAAGAGAGCCTCACATGGTTTCATCTCTGGGGCTCCCAAACATTATTTTCCCCAACAGAGATGCAGCTGCCCAAAACTGTCTCAAAGGACCTAGACTGGAAGTCTGTGGGGGTCAAGAGCAAAAACCACGGGGCAGAGGAGGAACTGCAGTTTGGAAGAAGCCCTGGAATACCATCAGGCTGAAGTCTGGTTATGAGATGCTTCCTGGGCTCTGAATATTTGTGTCAAATATTCATCCTCAGCCCTACCCAAATGCTGAAAGTGCTGTGTGTTCTGAACTGTAGCACTCCAACTGTAGGTTGGAGATTGGGGCTTCTAATCTACACTCTGCCACTCATAAATCATAAAATATCAAAGCAAGAATAGACTGTGAGATCACCTCGCCAAGATCTAATTTTCCAAGATGAAAACTGGGGCCCAGAAAGGTAAAGTTAACTTTGCCCGAAGTAATACGGCTAGTCAGTGAGTCTTTCTGAGGCAGAATCATGAGAGTGATTCTCGTGATTCACTATTCCATGACAGATACAGCGCATAAAGTGCTTAGAGGTCATTAAAAGGCACCCTAGGAAGGTATAAGGCTGGCATTTTTCTGGAAGTCCCTGAGTGTACCAACTCCTCAGGCACGACATTATTTGGCTACAAGGACAGGCCTGGAGTTGGTTTCGCCTTCATTTTAATCCCCAGGGCTGCCTGGAGGAGGACGAAGGAGCTCTGATTGCGGTCTGCCATCACTCCCCAGGCCAGTCAGGGATAACCAAGGAATCGTGTCATAACGCCTGGGACTGAGGAGCAATGGCCAAGTTCCTGGGACTTACGCAAGGCAATTATGGCTGAGTTTAAAGCTAGGATGCGCAGGACTGCGGGACCTGAGGTGGCAATTGGCGGGTTAGAAGAGGAATGAGCAATCCAAATGACTTTAGTCAGGTGGGCTCCTACTCAATCTCAAGGAGGTAGCTAACCTTCACTGCCTAGGCCTGCCGAATCCGCTTCCTTTCTCCCAGCACTAGCTCACGACACCAATCTTCTGCTTTTTTTCTAATCCCTCTAATCCCTTCTTCTATGCCTTGGGTTCCTGTCCCATCCTACTCCTGTCTTCCCATCCCGACGTCCCCGACGTCCCCGACCTTGGCTGTTGCCGCCCACCGCCCACACCCCTTTGATTTCTCCCTCCCCCAATTGACTCTCTCGGACAGCTCCCAGCCAATCTCGGTTTCTCTCATTCCTCCCCGCCAAATCTTCGGGCTCCCCCAGCCCCTGGGTGCCTTTGGTTTGCCCGCCGTCGGCCGCAGGTGGCTCAGATAAAGTGGATCCAGCCCTGGGGCTCCGGGGCTCCGCCACTCCCGGGGTGCTCGGGCCCACGTAGCGCATAGTCGCGGCCGCCGTTGTTGTCCCAGAACTCGTGGCCGGTCACGCGGTAGCGCAAGGCGAAAAGCAGGGCGCCCCCACTGGGTGGCGCGGGCAGGCGGAAGGCAAAGCGGTCCGCGCGCGGCGGGGGCGGGGCCGGGCCGGCGTAGGAGGCGGCCGCTTCGCGTTGGCTCCGCCAGCCGTCGGCGCTCCAGCGCACGCTCACGCGCTTCTCGTAGGCCAGGTCCAGCACGCGCGCGCTCCCGGCCACGCCCAACGGGCCCGCCTCGGCGCGTTCCAGGCAGATGCGCTGCGCCTGCAAGCGGGCGGCGAAGCCGGGCTCCCGGGCCGGCTCCAGGGCGGCGCGCGCCTCCTGGGGGAGGGGGGAGGAGAGGAGAGACGGGGGCGGGGTCAGGCGAGGCACTGGGCCAATCCGAGGCCGACTCCGACGCCGCGCAGTCGGGAGTGGAGCCCCGCTGAGAGGGCGGCCCCGACGGGAAAGAGCGACAAGCCTGGGGTTGGGCGTGGACGTGGGTGTTCCTCCATAAACGCTCTCCCACACGCCCGCGGCGGCCAGGTCGGGGAGGTCCCGGGAAAGGGGCGTGCCGCCGCCGCCTGCCTACCTGGAGGCCGCGGGCGCGAGGCCTGCACGGCGCGAAGTGGCGGAGGGCGTCCCTCTGCAGCTGCACTTGCACGTGGCGAGGCACCCGGGGCAGCTCTCCGGGGCGGAAGCGGCGCACCGCGGCCAGCTCCAGCCCAAGCGCGTCGGCGAAACGCACTCTCTTGCGGGTGTCGGGGCTGCGGCTGCGGGGCGCCGGGACGCCGCCGCCTCCGGCGGGAGCAGAAAGAGCGCGGCGACCCCGACTCGGGGCGTGAGCGCGGGATCGGGCCCCCAGGCGCGTCCCGCCCTCGCCGGGCTCCACCTCCGGCTCCTCCTCCTCGAGGCTGGGCCGCTGGCTGCGGTAGTAGGCACGCTCTGTCAGCGCGGCTATGAAGCTCAGGTTGCGGGGGATGTCGGTGCGGGGGGGCCGCTCTCGAGACATGGCACCCCCCGCCCGGCCGGGCCCTCCTGCCGCGCCGCCGCGTTGCCCTGCTCTCCTCTCCCCCGACCGCCCGGCGTCCGCGCCGAAGCCGCCCCTCGCCGCTGCCGCTGCCGCTGCCGCTGCCGCTGCCGCTGCCGCTGCGTACTCTCCTTGCTGTCACCTCCAGGATCTCCACCTCCTGTAGCCCTGTCTCCCCTCCGTGACTACCTTCCCCCCCGCTCTGGCTGCCAGCTCCCCGGGTTGTAGACCATCATCTCCTGCCTCCTGCGGGCCGTCTGCTCTGAGCGTGCGCTCAGCGGCGCTCACCCTCCGGTGCCGCGGCCCTCTCGCCCCGGCCCCCGCCCACAGTCCGCTGATATGGGGCTCCCCGTCAGTCTTCGCAGTGTACCGGGGGCGGGGATCCCCCTTCCGGTCTTGATGAGTGAGACCACTCGGGCTTTTTTTTTTTTTTTTTTTTTTAATAGCTTCAACCTCTCCAGCACCGGAAGGGTTAATGCAGAGGCCAGAGTAACCTTTCCCGGTCTTGCAGACTGGCTCAAAATACCCAGCGTGTGACTTTCTCTTCAGAGTTTCACCGTTTTCTTTTCCAAACCCCAGGCTCCGGGTTTTGGAGTGGGGTGGTGGCGGAGGGAGCACAGAAGGAAAGGTCATGAAAACTAGGTAATGTCTCAAATAGAAGCTGAGACGTGGCCCTCAAAAGGGTGGGTGGTCCATTGGAAAAAAGAGTTCTGAATTGAGTTGTGGGAAGACAGCTCTGGTCTCACCTCTGGTGGCATTTTGCTGTGTGACCTTGAGCAAGGCATAACTTCTCTGGACATCAATTTTCTCATCTGTGAGAAAGTAGATGAGCATTCTGATCTCCAACACCACTGCATGTACTTTGAAGGCAGAAACTGTGTCTGATTCACGGTCAGTTTCAGCATATAGTAGGCTCTCAAATTACTGAGTGAACACAACTCTCTGGGAGTTGGGACTGGATTTCTAGCTCTAGTGGGAGCTTCTAACAGGGGCACAGAGCTGGCTTTTTTCTCCTTCATTTTGTTGTACATTAGTGAAAGAAAAAAAAAGTATTTTGTGTATTATTTTCTCTGAATTTCCTACTGATCTTGTGTAACACAAAATGTACTGGGTATGCTTGCACGAGTTTTACAAATATTAACTCCTTTTTTAAAATATTTTACTTATTCGGGATCCCTGGGTGGCGCAGCGGTTTGGCGCCTGCCTTTGGCCCAGGGCGCGATCCTGGAGACCCGGGATCGAATCCCACATCGGGCTCCCGGTGCATGGGGCCTGCTTCTCCCTCTGCCTATGTCTCTGCCTCTCTCTCTAGCTCTGTCTCTGTGTGACTATCGTAAATAAATAAAAATTTAAAAAAAATAAAATAAAATATTTTACTTATTCATGAGAGACACAGAGAGAGGCAGAGACAGGCTCCATGCAGGGAGCCTGATGTGGGACTTGTTCCCGGGACTCCAGGATCACGCCCTGAGCCCAAGGCAGGCGCTAAACCGCTGAGCCACCCAGGGGTCCTCACAAATATTAACTCCTATAAATATTTTATAGATATCCTATAAGTGAGAAATTTGAGGGAGAGAGGGGATAGGACTCTTGCCCAGGGTCATATAGGTAATAATTGAGGAGCTGGAATTAGAACATCAGCAGTCTGTGCTAGAGCCCACTCTCTTATCCATTTGGTTATATAAGCTTAAAACGTTTAGTGATAATAGTTGACATTAGAGTACCATAACGAGGAATGTTAGAGTAGAAATGGAATCTCTACATTTACACAATAGTTTAACTGTAAAAATCACAAGTAACTAAGTTGGAAATAAGCAGTGAGACACATACTATCTTGTCATACAAGTCATTCCTGTTTGCATTTTTACTCCAATATTAACCTTAGCAATGCTAATTAGCCAGGAATCATTTTTAAAGTGATACATTTTTTTTGAAGATTTTATTTATTTATTAATGACAGAGAGAGAGGCAGAGACATAGGCAGAGGGAGAAGCAGGCTCCCTGCAGGGAGCCTGATGGGAAACTGGATCCCAGGACCCCGGGATCCTGACCAGAGCCAAAGGCAGATGCTCAACCACTGAGCCACCCAGGCATCCCTGAGTTTTATTTTTTGATTTTATGCATACATATATAGTTCAGGACATATTCTTTTCCTATCTTAGGGTGTAAAATAATGTTACACTAATATGTGTTATAGTCAAGCATTTTAAAACTGTCTTCCTTGCTCTTCTAAAATATATCATTGAGGGGTGCCCGGGGTGGCTCAGTTGGTTAAGTGTCTGCCTTCAGCTCAGGTCATCATCTTCGGGATATTGGGATGCAGCCCAGGTCAAGCTCCCTGTTCAGTAGGGAGTCTGCTTCTCCCTCTGTCCCTTCCCTGCTCATGCTCTCTCTCCCTCTATTTCTCTCTCAAATAAATAAATAAATAAATAAATAAATAAATAAATAAATATTTAGATATGTATATCTATATCATTGAAAGAATAGATAAGGTTCAAAGTGGGCCTATGGTCTGAGATGTCCTGATAAAAACATTTATGCTTTGTCTATAGTTTCACTGTTATTCCTTGGCTCTGTGGTGTTGGTCTGAGAAGATCCTTGAGGTATGTAGCTTTGGACCAGGTATACTTTGTGTTGGTCTAGTAGCTCTGTTCTGGCTGCTCAGACTGACATTTTTTTTAAAAAAGATATTTATTTATTCATGAGAGACACAGAGACAGAGTCAGAGACACAGGCAGAGGGAGAAGCAGGCTTCCCACAAGCCCGAAGTGGGACTCAATCCAGAGACTCCAGGATCACACCCTGAGCTGAAGGCAGACACTCAACCACTGAGCCACCCAGGTGCCCCTCAGACTGATATTGAACCTTTATTCCAAATCAATTTTTGTTTCTTTTTCTTTTTTTCCCCTCTTCACAGTTGAGTCTTTGGTTCTTTAACAGCCACTACAGTTATCTTCAAACATCAGAGTGGGCCTGCTCAAATAACTGACCAAGGGTGTTGAATGATTTGTTCAGTCAACATTTACTGAGTGTCTATTAGGCCTGAAGAACATAACAGTGAATATAATTCCGTTCTTGCTCTCACAGGGTTTATAAATAAATGGGAGGGCAGACAGAAACATTTGGATCCTGAAACCTAAAAGTGTTTTTATTTCAAGTAAGTGTCTTAGAAGAAATCAGGATTGCAAATGAAGGACTGGACTGGATTATTCTCTAAAGAAGGCAGCCTTGCTGGTGGCAGCTGGAGTGATCAGCCCAAGAGCAAAGAAGTGAGGAGGGTGATTGAAAGGATACAGTCATAAAGGTGTGAAATCTGCTGTGCATTCAGAATGGAGGGGATAACTGAGTTTGGACTTGATTCTTTTTTCTTTTTAAATTTTATTTTATTTACTCATGAGAGATATGGAGACACAGGCAGAGGAGGAAGCAGGCTCCATGCTGGGAGCCCGACGTGGGACTCGATCCCAGGTCTCCAGGATCACGCCCTGGGCTGTGGTGCTAAACTGCTACGCCACTGGGGCTGCCCTGAGTTTGGACTTGAAAATGGGGTTGTAACAACATAGATTACCCGAAGCAGAAGAGATGATCTTACAGCAATGCACTTAAAGACAAACTTTAAAGTCAGACAAAATTGAGTAAGAGTTTCTAAGTATATGATTTCAGCCAAATTACTTACCGTCTCCAAGCTTCACTCTCTTCATCTATAGAATGAGAATAAAGCATAGGGATTGGTGTGAGGATAACTATCATACATGTAACGAAAGCACATAGCACCTAATAAGTCATCAAAATGTATTTGTTGTTACTATTATTGTTACAGAAACCTTTCTTCTCCTGTGACTGTAGGGCCAGGTCGGAATATCAAGGCTTGAAGTAGAGGTAGAAGTAAAGGGAACCAGCAGGAAAGGAAAAGTGAGTTGCCGCTTTCTAGCCTTTGGCTGGAGATCCCTTCAAATGGAGCCGAAGGACGTGCCAGAGCAAGAGCCAGTGGGGCCCAGTCAGAATGCCTGAGAGAACATTCCTGAGGATCACCTGTAGACAGACTGCTTAATATTCTGTGAACTGCCCTGTATAAATATACTGCCTTGTATAAATAATAAGCATACATACATACGTGTGTCTATACATATAATTATATACATAATTATATATATAATATATATATGTAATGTGAAAGAGTAAACATCAACCTTGTCATTAGCAACTTCCATGAAAGGAGGTGGAATTGGGCAAGAGGTGGAAGGGGGAGGAGATTAAGGACTCATATGTTTCCCCCTTATACCTTTATGTTGTTTGAACTTGTCATAATGAGAATTCATGTGTTGAGTAAAAAGAATTAGAATGAAAACCAATCTGATTACAAAACAAAAAGGGAAAGAAAGAAAGAAAGAAAGAAAGAAAGAAAGAAAGAAAGAAAGAAAGAAAGAAAGAGAAAGAAAGGTAAAGAAAAGTTACCTGCAGAAACTACTTGGCGATCCAAGTCTTGATGCCTGGCTAAAGCTTCAGCCCATGAAGAGACTACTAGATTAGAGGTCCTGGAGAAAAGAGGAAGTGAAATGTTCAGTGTCCATGTTGTGTCTGCCAGTCCCACAAGGCAAGGAAGGCACCTGGTCAGCAGTTCCCATTCTAGTGGGAACTGCTCCCCTAATCCAGGCATCCGCTCCAGGGCAGGAAAAATTCAACAAGTGCATGGAACATCAGAGACCTTCTGGGAAATGGTGAATTTACTCCGAGGTTTCCTGAGGCCTAGCTGGCTTTTCTGGGCAGCCTTCAGTCTCAGGAGCCCAGACTGGCCCTCAGTATCCTCCCAGCCCTACTCCTCTTGGCCTCCAGCGGGCCTCTCTCTTCCGGAGTTGTGGCCCTTCCCAAGCTTGCTTCCCAGCCCCGCCCCTCTCTCTCTGGACGCATCTCTAGGCCCCATCATCACCCGGCGCCGGGCCCTCCCTCCCGCCCCCCCTTTCTCCTCCCTCCTTCCTTCCCTCCCTTCCTCCCTCTCTCCCTCCCTCCCAGCTCCTGCACCAGGAAACGGCCCGGATCCTGCCAGCGGCCTGACCCGTGAGATCCCTAACCTGGCAGGCAGGCGGGGTTGGAGACTTGCTGAGGGTGGGGGTGAAGGAGGAGCTGGGCTGTTGGACTGCACTGGGGGGGGAGCCGGGAGTAGAGATGGTGAAGGCAGGAAGCCCTTGGCCCTGGGTTTCCCGGGAGGACAGTCATTAAACATGGATTCGGCCACACAGCTGGTAGAATGTTGGGGGCAGGGGCCGGTCCAGGGAGCTGCAACCCCAGCCTTCTTAGTCCAGACTCTGATCGCTGGCCTTCCCCACCTAGCTCTGCTCTCCCCCTCCCCTTCCCAGGGCTCCACGCTGGCCAGGAGGATGAAAGGCCCCAGCTGGG